CAATCCCGAATCAACACCGTGCCCATCGCATAACTAGACGCGTCAGTCTCCACCTCGAAAGTCCGCTACAAATTCGGCAAAGCTAACACCGGTGCCTTCGAGATCTTCCTTTTTAGCAACTGAAAAGCCTCCTCATGCGTCCTTCCCCACTCGAACTGAACCTTAACCTTTGTGAGGCCATGTAACGGTGCCGCATAAGTCGAAAAATGTCGAATGAACTTACGCAGATACTGACAAGCCCCCATGAAGCTTCTCACCTCAGTCACTGTCTTCGGCATCGGCCACTTCGTGATCACCGCCACCTTACCCGGATCTATCCTCCTCTGGCCCTTCCCCACGATGAAGCCGAGATACACCAACTCGTCCTTCCCAAACTCGCACTTCTTCCCGTTGAGCTTCAGTTGTCCGTCCTGGAACACTCTAAACACATTCTCCACATGAACAAGATGCTCCTCCCAGGTCCTGCACTCGAACAGGCCCTGTTTGGTCTTGAACGTCGTCTGCCAAGTGTCTTCCTCCCGAATCCTCATCTGATGATAGCCAGACTTCAGATCCAACTTCGTGAAGAAACTCGCTCCCTCCAACTGGTCCATAAGATCATCGATCCGTGGTAGTGGGTAACGATTCTTGATCGTTATCTTGTTGAGCGCCCGGTAATCCACGCACATGCGCCAGCCTCCATCCTTTTTGGGTACCAATAACACAGGCGACCCACAAGGTGAACAACTCGGCACTATCACTCCCGTCTCTAAGAGCTCCTGAACCTGTTTCTTGATCTCTTCGGACTCCTGTACTGATGTGCGATATAGGCCTATGTTTGGCAAGGAACTCTCGCCGGTCAACATAATCTCATGCTCTACACCTCGCCGTGATGGTAGTCTCGTGATCTCCGAAAATAAATCCGCATACTTGGCCTTCAAACTAATCTCCCTCCTGAAGCTTTCTCAAGGTGGACAAGCATATCCTACTCAGCTGCTCTACATAAGGCCGAATGAACAACAAAACAAACTTCCTGCCCGCATTCATCAACCTCTTAGCCTGAGTCACCGTCACCAAACTCGTCAACTATGGAAGAGATGCCGAACGAAAAATGAATTGCGCGCCATCCTTAGTGAATGTATACTTTTGGGCCTGTCGATCATATACCGCGTGTCTACCCACAAGTAAGGATTGCCCAAAATAACTTGGCAAACATCCAACGGAACCATATCGCATGTGACCTCGTCAATATACGACTCATGGAGTGCAAATCTGAACATACACTGGTTCACCACACTTAATCCCGCTTCCTTCTGAATCCACCCTAATAGATAGGGTTTCGGATGCTTCACCGTCTTCAATCCCAACTTCTGTACTAATGCTTCAGATATCAGGTTCTTCTGACTCCTTGTATCTATAATGGCATCCACCAAGCTGGTCTTGACCTGTAACTTCAAAACAAAAAGCTGCTCCCTCGGGTCGTCGTCTTCTTTCGCGGCCCGTATCCTCGCCATAAGATTGAGGTTATTGTTGGGCTCTGCCATTTCGGGAACCTCCTTCGGACCCTGCGCTATCACGTATGTTTTATTCTCCTCTTTCTTCTTCAACCCTTTCGGCTTTAGATGAGGGTACTTCTCCCAGCAACGATCAGCCACGTGCCCTGTCTGCTTGCAGTGATTGCATGTTAATCCTGGCTTCCCCGAATCACCCTTCTTCTTCTCTTCCTTATGTTGAGAGCCACTAGACTTGCCTCGCGACTGTTTGGAATCACCCTTCATTTCGTTGTCCTTCTTCTGTTTGCCCTCAATGGCAATTGCCTTCACGCTCGCCTCTGCAATCGTCTCGACCGTGAACAGCTTCATCTCCTTCCGGATATAATCATTTAGACCCGCCATGTATTTCATGAAAATGGAGTATTCATCCGTTGCGATGTTTAGAACCATCGCATGCTGCTGGAACTCTGTCGTATACTCTTGAATGGTCTGATTGAATCTTTGGCGCAAGCCGTACCACTTGTACCAACGCTCTTCGAGGAACCCCACAGGATAGAACTGCTTCCTCAGTAGCTCCTTGAATTTGTTCCACGACACCGTCTTCTTTTCCTATTTGTAATAGGATTTCCACCACGTCAACGCGTGCCCCGAAAGCTTCAATGTCGCGAACACGATCTTCTCCTTGGATGAATATCCGTAGAGAGTGAAGTACATCTCCATACGCTCAATCCAATCATCGAGCTTGTCCACATTGACACTCCCATCATAGATAGGAATCCCTCGATCCTATGCTTTCTGAATGACTCGGTGAAAATGTAAATCACCTAGAGTGATTATCGAGTAACCACTTCTCCCGGTTTTTTTCGAATTCTCATCCGAGCCCTTGACTGGTGGGAATCGGCCCGGAGAGGCTATGACTTTGACTGCACCTTTATACTTGCCATATCCCGAGAATTGTGGCCAGCCATATCGCAACGCATCTCCACTTTGAAATCAATCTTCAAGTTTTGGTAATAATTCTTACCCACCCCCCTGTATGTGAAGTAGACTTAACAACCTCGACCTCTTCTTTCGAATCTGATTTCTCGCGTTCTTCATCGGACTCAACAAGTTTCTTCTTACCCTTCAAAGAAGATTCCTCCGTTTTGTCCTCTTCATTAATGAGACCCACGAGCTGAGTAAGAGTAGTCCCGATCGTCTCTATCTACTTCTCCATAGCGTCAAGTCTTGCTGAATTATCTGCTTCAGACATCTACCCTCCTTATCTTCTGGACCTCTTCCAATGAAATAAGGGCCTCACCAAGCTTCTTGTAATGCGATCGAGTCAGGACCATACACAGGATGCCCCCTTCGTAGGATCTGATCGCTCTGATACCAACTTGATACGAGTTGTCGTGCGAGCACCTTTGATCGTGGAATTATCAAAGGTGGGTTGAGGAGAAAACAATAAGAACACAAGAATAACTTAGGTTTTGGGCGAAGGAAAATACCTTCTCTAGATTATGAGTATGCACTTTACAATCTCTCACAATCTCACTCTAGAATTGAAGAACAAGCTCTCCAAATCTCAATTACAATCTAACCTCTCTTGATTAAACACTCTGATCGTTTTAAACCCTAAAACAATTCCTTATATAGGTGTACAAACGAGGGTGGCAAAGTGGTAAATAACCAAGCCCAACCAAAACAGGAAAACGCGTAAATAGAGTCCTTAACGAATCTAGAAAACTTCGATGAGTCGACTCATGAACAGTTATGAGTCGACTCATGACCTCATATGAGTCGACTCATAACTGATAAGTCGACTGGTCAGAAACTTTTGCTAACAGGGCTTGATTTCTTGAGTGGACTCAAAACTGTATGAGTCGACTCATGACTGATGAGTCGACTCATAAAATGATGAGTCGACCGAGCAGAAACTTTTGACAAAACGGCTGCACTTCGTGAGTCGACTCATGACAGACATGAGTCGACTCAACCTGATGAGTCGACTCATGTACATGTATGAGTCGACTCCTGAGCTAAAAACTGGATTCTTCGAATCTGTTGCTCGTCGTCTCGTTCCACGCTCCAACCTGCGTTCCCCTATACTGTTTGACACCTCTATTCTCATGCTATCATGAGAATCATCTATCCTCAAGCTCCCATAAGGATCGCTAAGTTCCGAAGAAAAGATACACCCGTATCAAATCTGACCCAGCCTGAAACCTAGGTTGGTGCACCTATCGGTCGACTGATGCTTATTCATCAGTCAACCGACCAACACCTATCGATCGACTGATTCCCAAGGTCAGTCGACCAATCAGGGGTGTTTTCAACTAACTATTTCTCATGTGTATGTCCATATTTACACTTTTATACATTCATATACGTACTTAATCGATCTCTAATCGATTACTAACATACTTATTCATCTATAAATAGTATCAACCATAATAAAAAATTTATTTAATATTATTTTTCATAATATTTTCAAAATTATATGGTTTTACAATGAAGTGCATCGACTGAAAAAAACTAAAATATTATTGGTCATCAGCGGAACATGAATAAAGACACTTTGAATCTCTGAAATAATCATTGACAAAAACTTTTACCGCTGTTAGGTATCATTTTTGCTACAATCTTGTACAAAATATTAAAGAAGCTAATTGGCGTAAACTGAGATATCGTTACAGGATTTTTTATTTTTGGAATCAAACAGATATGTATGTGATTTAATTCAGCACGCATGGCCTTATTTCTACGAATTGAAAGAAAAAACGTACTACATCACTACCCATCTCATGCCAAAAATGCTAAAAAAAAAGAGGCGACGTACCACCAAGTCCTGGGGACTTTGTCGGACGCCTACTAAATAAAGCCTTCCGAACATCTTATAGACAAATGCATATTTGAGTTCTGAATACGTTCTATCATCAACACACGACAAAACTGAGCTTAACACCGCATCCATCTGACACTCCTCCTAAGCCGAGAACAAATTTTCAAAGTATTTGATTGCCACGATCAAGAGATCCTCATCTTTTGAAGATATGTTTCCCATCTTGTCCTGTCACTAGTAGAAAAATACGCAAGCTAGACGAAAAAATCCGTCTAGGTTGCTTGCAACCCCGTCTAGGTTGATCAACCTAGACAGAAATCCGTCTAGGTTGATCCGTCTAGTTTGAGTCAAACTAGACGGAATTCCGTCTAGGTTGAACAAACTAGACGGAATACAACCTAGACGGAATTTATAAATCCATCTAGATAGCACTGTAGTAACCTAGACAGAATTTTCGTGTATGTTGCTACAGTAACAACCTAGATGGTTACAGTAGCAAAATAGACGGAATTCCAGCTAAGTTGCGATGCTACCGTTTTTTTTTTTTTTTTGGCAGAATCTACGCTACACACTATATAATATTACATGTACATGTACACAATATTGCACAACACCAAATCATATCAATATCCAACACAATCTAATTATATTTCAATATCAAATATAATTATATTCAAATAATACATTCACCAAAATACTAGAGATACATAAATTATTTACATAGATAACAAAGAATACAATTGTTTACATAACTCCATGAACTTTTCATAATTTATAGAATCCAATTGTATTCACTCATTCAAGTTGTTGAAGCATCAATAGGCCTAATGCTACCTGTGTATGGAAAATCCTTCCATCAATACTTTTCTTTTGATAAAAATATATGATAAATACTAATTCATCTACATTCAGTAAGAAATAGCATTAGAAAGTATTATATCCTAGTTTAATTGAATGTACCCTCCGTGTCACGTTCACATGATACCATTACTTCTTCTCAAACTCAAAGCAAAACTAGTTAAGTTTTATCTATTATTGAGAAGCTTTCTACATTAGATAACATTTAAAAATGTCAATAATGAAAATTACCTAAACTACTTACAAGAGAAACAACAGAAAATACCCAATCTAACTTGGAATATTGGATGATGATTAAAAATGACAAACTGAATGAAGATATCATCATAAGCTTAGGTTAAATTTATGATACCTTGTTCACACGTATCAGCTTTCCATAAAGTTTTATAATGTTCAGTACCTTCATGGCCTGTAGAGATATAGAATAAATGTAGAATATACATTAGCATAATTCTCCTTGTAAAATGTGGTTAACATGAACAATCACAAACTGGAATGCCACAATTACAAGGATGTTTCATAAATACTTACATAATCAGCATGTTCCCCACTTCAAAATTCAATGAACCCATATCTCTGACGGAGATTTGTAACTCGAATAAAGCTTTTTTTTTCTTTTTTTGACAGGGAATTAATTGTGGACTCAATAATCAGAAGCATTTGGAAGTAGATCTTAGAATCAAAGGACTGATATCTGGCATAGAAAAAGTGCTCTAGAAAATGACAGATATGATTGAGGATAGGCTATATATAGTCACAGTAAAATTTAAATTGAAGGAGAAAGAAGTTACCACAACTCCAATGCATATTGAATGGAAGTTTCCTGACTTTCCAAGCTTTTGTGCAACCACTGGTATCTCAAAGCTACCGGGTACTTTGACTACCTGGAAAAATTAAAGCTGTTACTTGTTAGAAAAATAGTTCATTTTGATTTACTTTTTCCTTTTCTAACAGTAGCACTATAACTTACAGAACAGAAAAGATGTATGAAATTTAGCAACTAACAACTTGTGTTGCCTGTGAATCAAAGCAACACAATCATCCTATTAGAATTTACAACCTGAAATACCGCAAGAGTGAATTACATGTACAATATCAATATATAAATAATTTCTAATAACATGACAAGAAAAAATAAAAAGATGGAGAGCTTGTATAGATTTATGGTTCATAAAGAACGAAAAAGTCATCAAAGAATTGGTAAGTAGTAGTTTAGATTATTATACTATTATACACTACATCAGTCTTGTAGCGTATCAACCTAGAAACAGCGTGTAGAAACTCAAAACTGGGCCTGGTAGATACTTTTAATATAGAAAGAGCTAACTAAATAAATACCAAGAGCAAATCAGGCAGTAAAAAAATGTATGCCGCATATATATGCTCTTGTGAGTAACATCATGAGGACCATAAGAATGTCAGCTTCATTTCTTCATAACCACAGCCTAGTTTAAATTATTGGAAAATATAGACTTTAATTGATAGCACCACCAAAAGATCAGATGGTCTGCAATAAAGGATTTCTGTAGGGCAAACAATTTGGCACAAAGGCCTTTTTTCCTCCCTATTAGCATCATCATTTTTGTTACTGTGGAACTTCCATAACAACATGGCACGATAGAAACATGCATATACAACCACAGGCACATGTGATCATGCATACATCAACACCACCACTTAGCAAAATAAAGGGCGCGAGAGCATTTGAAAGACATTTCTGCTACTGATTAACAAAGGTCAATAAATATTGAAGAATAAAATAAAAAATGGTTTACATACTATAATGCCTTCTTCTCTAACTAAATATCGTCTAAAAGTCTCCAAAGCTCCTTCCAATAACAATTTTTTCACAACTTCATTAAACCGTGCTACAATCTGCATAGAAGGGGAAGAGATAGTTTAGAGTAGTATTTAAAAGGATATAATAACATCATGAGAACTAAGCTAACTGATAATCACATTTTTATTACAATTTTATACCCTCATTATCTATTTTATATGAATAAATATACCACTAATAATTGCTTTTATCTTTAATTGCAAGTTAATCAAAAATAAAACCAAGATCTCTTTCTCATCAAAAGCCAACAAATATTAATGAAGAAAACAAGCATCAAGCCCAAAAGCCCAAGAGCCCAAAGCCAAACAAAGAAGAAATTTACGGATAGCAAAAGGTGGCACCTGGGCGTCGATGCCCACATTGATGCCACCATCGATGCCACCATCGATGCTGACGAAAAAATTATGAATCTATGGCTGAAATTTGATTGTTTTGGATAAGATTTCGATCCAATAGCTCACATTCATTGATGTTTACTATAAATAGGGATAGAGAGTAAGGGGTTAGGGGTGTGAAAAATTTTGTAACTCTATTTGGAGAGAAGAGTTACTCTTAATTGAGAATACCTTCCAAAAATTATAACTTTTTGTTGCAATCAATAAAAGAGTTTTTTCACCACTTTAAATTTTTTTATCTTTGTTTGATGATGATGATGGAGATGAAGATCAATTTGAAGGTTTGCTTTTATTTTATTTTTCTCTTTTATTTTTTATTTCTTTTTAGTAATTTATTTCTTATTGCTTATTAGTTTAGATTTACATTCATGTCTTGTAGAGTAGATTTATTTTCTTATTTTTAATTTATTTTGTATTTTAATTTGTAGAGTGGATTTATTTTCTTGCATTATTTCTTTTGTAATTTAGTTAGATTTATTTCTTGTTCATAGTGTAAAGTTCCTTGTTCTTATTTCTATGCTTTGTAATTAGTTCTTGTTCTTTTCATTTCATTCCTTGTTTTTATTTCTTAAGACGTGGAACTAATTTTTGTAGGAATCTTAGAATTGCATGAAATTAGCCTTATTTCCTTTATATTGTATGAATTATTCTCTTATGCTTAAAATAATCATGTATAGGATAATTAACTAGAGAACTAATTGATAGAAAAAGAATTTGATAATCTATACTTATCTTGAGTGGTTTGATAGGTTATGTTTATGAATTCTAGAATTATTATCTAGTTGTTGTTCTTGTCATGAATATTAATTTTGCTTAGATAATAATTTCATGGGTAATACTTTCCTTAAATTGTTTGATAGTCTATGCTTAATAAATCTAAAGAAAAATATGATAAAAAGAGAATAGTTCATATTTTGTAATTGAAATTAGCTAGTGGAATTCAATTCTAGATTTCTCATATCTTTAATTGAATCCTCCCTCTTTTCTTTCTTAATTTTTCCTTAGTTCTTGATTTTCTCTTATTTGTTTCTTGATTTTTATTTCCTTTATTTTTATTTCCTTTATTTTTATTTCCTTATAATTTCATTTATTCTTTTATCATATCCACTCTTCATTCCTATCATCTAAAATCTTATTTATTGACTTTTGCATATATTCACAACACTCCTCATATATCTCTCCACGATCACAATTTTCATCACTCATAATTGTCACGCACACAACATAAAAACCGATTCTAATAATTTCTTACAAACACCTTCCTCGTGGGATCGATAACTCTTTATACTATAACTTGATTAATTGTGCACTTACAACTTTTGGTACATATGTATGCCCCATCACTAACACTTACTAATAGGTTAAATTAAGTCTAGTCATGAACTTAAATTTTATGATTACACCACATTTTTAAGGAACAAACTATGATTATTAATCATAACAAAGGTTCTGAGTCTCTGACAAGAATATAAGAGCCAATATGTCATGAAAGGTCAGGAAAGAAAAAGAAACTATGAAAACATGAATAGAAACAGACACATTGTTAAGAAGTTGTCTGTTTCAGCTCTTAAGCAGGATCCAGTACTCAAAAGTGCATAAGCCAAGTAAATGGATTAGAAAATTTGATTAAACTTATTGTCAAACATTGAACAAAATAAAATCAAATGTTGTCAGTTTCTTTTCAAAGGTGCAGTTGCAGCATTTCTTTTCAAATGTGCAGTTACAGCACTCTAAGTCATTCTTGAGCTATTTAAGGATCAGACCTGAATCACCTGATCCTGATATCCCGTCATCACATAATACTAGTTTGCGGTCCGTGCAAAGCACGGGATTTTTTTGCTACAGTAATCCTGTTTTTTTAATATTGCATGATTTGAACTTTTGAAAGTGCTACAGTGTCCCGCTCTGTTACAGTACATTTTAAATGCTACAGTATACCTGTGTGCTACAGTACTATCTTTAATCAGTTATTAGCTACACTGTTCATGCGGCAGTAAATATTACTGTAGCATTTACTGTAACATGAACAGTGAATCTCTAATCCTCCTATTTGTATAAAGGAATAGATGGCCCATAAAGAAAGTCAAAGTAAAGCATTGATGCAACATTGAAAATTTTAAATTCCAATGAATAAGTGCTAAACTGCTGAACTCTTTGCTGAAAGTGGAAGATGTTTTTGACAAACAACTAAAGGAAATTGGCATATTACAAGAAATAATTTTTCATTTGCATCTTCATTTTTCCCAGCCATAAGATTTCAGGCGAGTAATGATATGGTTTGCAAAAATGACTGAGCCATTTTCTCATATATAGGGAAAACGAGTAGCAGGACACAATAGAATCCTCACGTGATCAAAGGAGTAATTACATTCCCCAACTGCGTATGAAATTTTACATGTCAAAATTATAAGATCCTATACAACTTTAAATCATAACATTCCTGTTCCGTTGAATTTGTGACTGATTTAGAGGGCTAACTTCAGGCCCAAAAACAAATCATAATATTCCCCCAATTCTTTTCCAGAACCTTGCACTCGATAACGGGCTGCAATTTAAAAGAGAAATGATTGAACGAGGGACATTTATCTAAGAAATCAAGCGTAATGAAAATTTCATTAAAATTGCATGATTCCTTTACGTGCACATGAGAGAGATCTTGCTATTTGCATACGATAAATGTAGCCAAAAAAGATAAAATGCAGAGCATATAAAGGTAAAATACCAAAAGATCAAGTCCAGAATTTAAACTTCCTCTTTGGACCAATAGCAAATATTTCAAGATCTACGACATGAAGAAAATCAGGAGGAAAACAAAAAGGAAAGCAATTACCTCGGCGCAGGAGCTTGGATGGTGGTGGTAGTGGATGGAACAAGGCGGAGGGCAGGCGACGGACGGCAAGGCTGATTCCACGTCATCTAGGTCCAGGGCTTCACCGACGGGGATGAGGAGCTCATGGTCTCTATCCCTTTCTCTGTCACTCTGTCCCTTTTTTCAACCGGAGATTTTGGCGTGGGGCGGCGGCGGCGTGGGGAAGCAACGTGGTAGACTGGCCTGCGACGGGCGGAGGTGAAAACAGCAGGCGCGTGGATATGAGAGAGAGAGAGAGGGAGAGAGATTTGGGGGTTTGTAGAGAGAGAAAGGGTTTGGGGTTTTTTTGGAGGGGGAGGGGAGAAAAAAGAGGTGGCGAAATGAAAATAGGGTCGGGGAAATGAAAAAAGAAAAAAAAAAAGAGGGAGAGGCTTCCTTAAATTTTTTTGGTGATCTAGACCAAATTTTCGTCTAGATTGTATTCTAGATTAGAATTTTGGTCTAGTTTGTCAACTCAGATAGAAATTTCTATCTAGATTAATGCAAACTAGACGGAACAAACTAGACGAAATATACCTCAAACTAGACGGAAAAAATTTCGTCTAGTTTGTTTCGTCTAGTTTGTTTATTTTCCTGTAGTGTGTATCATTTCTTTTACGACGGTTTGTAGCTTTATTCTGGAAATTTTTTTTGTTTTGATCTCCTTCAAGTAACCAATATATTGAATAGCGAAGATGCCACATAATTTCTTCCTTCTCTAACAAATCATTCACCTCCACTACCGTTGGTAGTAAAAAAGTGCAGACCGCTCAATTAGATCAGTTAAACATGAGAATGGGCCCCTAAGAAAAATTGGATCATTCGAATAATATCACAGGAACCCTATAAAGCTAAGAAAATTGACTAAAGGAAGGAAGAATTTAGGACTCAAGCGAACTAAACTACAAATCCAACTAAAACAAACTTTCAAGAAAAGACATAACTCCACGAAACACAATCCTGTGAAAACTTAAACTCCGCGCAAGTCAAAACTGGCGTGACCACTAAAGCTACTCTTTAAACAGTGTAAAGATAAGCACAGACCAATTCCATGAAGCTCAGAACTTCATGGGTCATATGGAAGACGAGGCATTGCTGATTGGATTGACCTCTCCATCAATGGTCTAATCATGCTGACGTCCTTTTAGTGTGTTAACTTGGCAAAGTTGGCGCCACATATAAGTCAAGGTGCATGATCCTTATGCAACACACTACCATATCCAATGTACAAGCTCAAATCACTCATGCTAAATTTAGGTGGCCACTACGCATTTAATTAATTTGACAGAATTAATAATGATGATGGCATCCCACCCGTTAGGTGGGGATGCGGACCAACACCGCATTAAATGTGAAGTAACTAAAGAGGAGGTGCCTATAATAATCAAGAGCTTTGCTACAGGGACCCAAAATATGGGACCAATAAAGGGGACAAGTGAGGTGTCCCCCTCCTATTAGATAATGAGTTGGCCATCATTAATGATGGCCAACTCATTATCCAATAGGAGGGGGACACCTCACTTGTCCCCCCTATTGGTCCCATATTTTGGGTCCTTAAAGAATTTTTCAATAATCAATAGGAAAATGAAAATTGGTGAACTGATGGATGTAGCAGTTGGCAGCATGGTTGTCACATAAACATGGCCCAATTGCACGTAGACGAACTATGTGTGCAAACAACATAAATCCTATAAATACCACCCTTCATTATATTTTGAGGGCGCTGAATTTAATTGTGCTATTACTATTGATAATCACATTTTTATTATATTTTTATACACTCATTATCTATTTTGTTTAAATAAAAATATCACTAATAAACATGTTTTATCTTAATTTACAGTTTAATGAAGAATTAATGAATAAAAGCTCAAAACTGAACTCAAAATTTCCTCATTTTTTTTATTTTTTTATTGAAGCCCGGGATAAGCCAAGCAATCTACAGAAGCTGAAGAAACAAGGATCAAATATGAAAAGAAATCAAGTCAAAATCACGTTCAAGATGATTAGCCACAAAGAAATGACGATATCTCTTAATCCAAAAGGCAAAATTTAATATATAATATATAAAAATCATCTATCTCGACGAGACGAAGCTAACTAAATTTTCAAAAATTTGAAATTCCAATCACTTGGCTAACCGATTGGCCCATCGGTCGGCCAACCGATTAGCCACCAATTGATCCGTAACAAACTTGTTTTATGACTAAGATTTGATCATTGGAGCCCAAGTAAAATATAATGATCCTCATTCATTACTGTAGGCTATAAATAGGGGTAAAGGATGAGGGATTTGAGTGTAAAAATTTTTGTAAAAACTCTATTTGGAGTGAAGGGTTACTCTACTGTTAGTTGAGATGACCTTTTAAAATTATAACTTCATTGTAATTTATAAAATAATTTTTTTACCTCTTCATATTTTCTCTTTTATCTTTTATCAAGAGGCTAAAACATTCTGAATTTCTGAAAAAGAAGAGTTTCTGAAATTGTCTATATACTTTCATCAAAAACAAATCAATTAGGCAATTTTACAGAGATTAAAAGAATCCTAAGCCACTGCTGCACTTCATTACACATTCAAGGCTTATAGGATCATTGTGTTCTTACTACAACAAGTTTTTTCTCTCGGTTGTGAGAGGGTTAATCTCTTGGCTTAGAGATTGGTGTTCAAATTAGCAAGGAGTTTGTCAATTGGTGTTGCAATTTACAGGGACTTGCAAATTGGTCAGGTTTGCGTTTGATTTTGTAAGTTTATTCAAAATCATAGTGAAAACTCTCAAGCGGGATTTGCTTGGGGACTGGATGTACACCGGATTGGTGGAACCAGTATAAAATCCTTGTGTTTGTGTTTGCAAATTTCTGAGATTGCCATTTTTCTTTGCAATTTATTATCTACTTTGCAATAATTTTAAGAGAACACTATTCACCCCCCCCCCCTCTAGTGTTCTAGTGTATCTATTTCAGATCCTACATTTGGTATCAGAGCAAGGTGAAAGATGGCATCGTCAAATACAACACAATTCAAGGAAGGCCACTCTACAAATCGTCCTCCAATGTTCGATGGTTTGAACTACAACTATTGGAAATGTCGAATGAAGATATACCTTCAATCAATTGGCTACGAACTTTGGAACGTTGTGGAAACAAAATATGAGAAGCCAACCACTCCTTTCGCGGAATGGACTACATCTCAAAGGAACAATGCAAATTTGGATTCTAAAGCAATGAATGCCTTATTTTGTGCACTTGACAAGAATGAGTTCAATAGGGTGTCAACGGCCACATCCGCATATGATATTTGGCACACACTCGAGGTAACTCATGAAGGTACAAATAAAGTTAAAGAATCTAAAATTTCTGTTCTTGTGCACAGATTTGAATTATTCAAGATGAAGGAAAATGAGACTATTGGAGAAATGTTCACAAGATTCACCGACATCACAAATTCTCTTATTGGTCTTGGAAAAACATATACTCAAGTGGAGATGGTAAGAAAGATACTTCGTTCACTTACTCCACAATGGGAAAAGAAAGTTACCGCTATTGAAGAAGCCAATGATTTGTCAACTCTTACGGTTGAAAATCTTATTGGTAATCTTATGGCATATGAAGTACAACTTGAAGATAGGAAGAATGATGAAGAATCTAAGAACAAGAAAGTTCTTGCATTTAATACTACTTCAGATAAAGAAGATTCAGATGATAATGATGAAGAAATGGGCATGTTTGCACGAAAATTTCGAAAATTCATCAAAAGAGGTAATTTTAAATTTAAGAATTCAAATTCAACTAACCCTCTTTGTTTTAAGTGTAATAAACCAGGGCATATGAAGAAAGATTGTCCAATGTTGAAGAATAAACAAAAATCAAGTTATTTCAACAACTTCAACAATATTCAAAATAACAAGAAGAGGAAAGCAATGGCGGTCACTTGGGATGATAGTGATGAATCATCCTCAGATGAAGAAATTGAAGAAAAGGAAAGTGCTCACATGTGTTTCATGGCACAAGATGATGTAAGTGAAAATGAAGAGCTTTTAGATGCTTTTAATGAATTATATGAAACTTTTATAAGATTAAAAATTTCACATAATTTTCTTAAAGGTGAGAATAAAAGGTTACTTGAAGAAATTTCCGATTTAAATTCCTCTACTTTTACTAATTCTCAATTAGTTGAATTAAAAGAAGAAAATTTTTCTTTACTAAAAGAAAATGATAATTTATCTAATGAAAATAAATATTTAAAATCAGAATGTAATAAGTTAAATATTCGAATTAATAGTTTAGATAAAGATATTTCTTCTTTTAAATCAAGATATGAAGATATATGTTTAAATGTAAGCAAATTTAATAAAGGAAAAGAAAATCTTAATAATATTCTTTCTTTTCAAAGAGAATCACAAAAGACAAAAGGATTAGGTTTTCAAATTAATAAAAACAATTCAAAGAATACAATATTTGTAAAACCTTCTTGTGATTTGCATAATTATAAATCTGAAAATTTGTGTAAAAAGAAATCAAAATTCTTTTCTATTTGGGTTCCAAAAGAATTATCCTTCTTTACATTACAGAATTTTTATATTTCTGATTTTATTAAATAGTTGTTTATCATACTAACTATTTAAGGCAGAATCAAACTCTTCAGTGTGGTTGGTTTCCTAAGCTAATTAAAGACCAACTAGTATGGGTACCAAAAGAAATGTTTATTATTTCAGCGTACCCAAAATAGATAGGTGGATTTTGGAAGTGGTTGCCCACATATTGAATGGAAATTCAAATGTGTCATCTTTTCAAAAAAACAAGGATGGACGTACGTTTAACTTTTGGAGAATAAACAACAAAGGAAAAGTCTTCAGGTATCTGGAGTCCGTCGGGTAATCCAAACAAACCATCATTGATAATGTTTTATTAGTTAATGGTCTTAACATAATTACTAAGTATGTCAACCTTTGGTGATAAAGTAAAAATTGTTATTTGAAAACAGAACATCAGCTTTAACTTTATGATATTGATTTCAATAACCATTATTAAAGGTTATAACGAAATGAACATATATGTGTTATCCTATCGCAATAATATTTCAAATGACATTGTCTTATTGCATGCATCTAATATTCTATTTATGGCATAAAGCCGTTTTTGGAAGTTCTTAAACATATGTCTATATTTCTAAAATGGATCAGTAA